CGCCTTCACAAGGACCACAGGTCCGTTCGCAACCCATGGTAGATGGTGAACCGGCATCTACCACCCCATCTAAAGCATGCGGTATGTTATCCTTATGGATCTGCAAAAAGAAAAAATTTCCCCTCCATCTGGTTTCTTTTCACGCACATCATGATCTGCAAACGGATCTTCCTGGCCTGGCTGTTCTCTGTTGCTAGCCAGGGGAGGGCAGGGTCCCGGGGCAGGAAGGCACTGTGGCACTGATGCTTGGCCTGCACTATCCGGGGACTTCTGGGCCGGAACACCAGCACGCACAAGCCTGTGGCGCTGACCCCAAATCCTCATGATTAAAATACACAGACTTTTTCTCCTTTAGTTTAGAGAAGAAGTTGGAAGGATGAAAAAGGAAGGGATTAATCTGAACTGGTAACAGATGAAAACTAAACATTTTTTTCTAAGAGACTTATATTTACCATCTTGTTCCCGCAGCCAAGTCACTGCTATTAGTCCTTAGTTTACTAAGTTACAAAAAGATTGGGTCAAATCTTGAAAGACAGAATTCTTGCTTAACCAACAATATTGGGAGTGCGTCCTAAAAACCTGGAAGCTAAACACTGTGTCCACTTGATCTCAGAATAACCACACTCACTTAAGGAATGTGTCAAATGCATCGTGTATAATCCAGGAGCTGGAACACATCGGTCAATATGGCAGAATTTCAGAAAAACACAGTTATTATTTAAATCTCGAAAAGAAAAAGGCAACTGCTACTATACAATTCTACCAGTAAACGTGAAGCAGAGCTCGGTCAGCAAAACTTTTATCATATTAAAATAGGCATTTTCACATGACCGTGGAATCAGAACACTTGAAAGATCACGTCCGCTACAACCATTTCAGTGTTATCACCCGCTTGAACGGAACCAAAATGAGAAAAGAAAAAGACAGGACACAGGATGAACAGACCATAACTTTATTGGAGCTTGACTCTGCTACAATTATTACAAAACAAACAACTAAAGGTAATTGGGGCCCATAAGGTGCAGGCTGCACGTTCCCGCAGCACAATTACTCTATGAATGGGTTACAGTATGTTCCTTAGAACAGCTGCAGCATGTGACCGTAAAGAGGTTACTGTCAATCAAATTATGTTAGTTTTTCTTGATTTTAGTCATTTCCCTTCCCTCTATTTACAGCAGAAAAGCCACAAAGTTTACTTGCTGTTCACCTTTGCATTTTTGCTAGGTAACCTGCAGATGCAGTGAATTCTGAGTGCATCTATAAAATTTAAATTGTCTGTGGTTGATGTCCAAATAAAAATGGACCAGGAAAAAAAACAAAACACTTAATGATTGAAATATATTTACAAGTTAGTTCTGAAAGACCATTTTCACTGCTAGTGGAAAACCACAATGCAAGTCTCAATGCAAGTTCCCGCGAGATTGCTCCTGGCGGCTCCAACAACTGGTAAAATCGCTTTATTATGCTTGGTCTTAAACGTATCTTAAAAGCTTTTCATGTACAATATAAAATAAAGAAATTTATTTGGAAATAATTAAATTCCTGAAAGGTAATCAGTGGTTGAAAAAATGTACCTATTGAAATGCAACGAAACTGACCATTTGGTACCGACCGCCAGGAACACGAGCTGGGCGAGGGCTTGGACAGAATCTCAGATGCGGTTTCAATAAAGATATCCAGGTCTCAGTTTGGTGGCTTAGATCTTGTGTGAAAGGATCAAATACCCTAAGAGAGGAAGATGGAGAGCCTGCCATCGGCCGGGCCCTCAGACCGCACCGTGGTTGGGCTGGGTGTCGGGCACTCCCCGCGCCCCAGTCTCCGTCGGACTGGGAACGACCTGGAAGGGCGCGGTGCTGGGTGAAGGGCCGTCTTTATGAGCCGCCGAGCAGCCTAGGGGCCTCTCGCTAGTTAGGGAGGGAAGTCTGAATCGTTCTGAAGAACGTGAAACTATTAGTAGTTTAAGAGATCATTACAGGAGTGTTAGAGGTCATTCTAAATTTAATCACTTCACATGACGTAAAAGAAAGAGAAAAAAAAAGTAACAAAACATATTTAAAAAAAAAAACATAAGAGTTAACAAATCTTTGTCATACTTTCACAAACAGTAAAAATGCCACAGACAAAAATGACCTATTTAAGTTGTGCAAGTATATGACACATTGCAGGCATTATAATTCTTTTTCAAATCCGGTAAATCAAAACAGCAGCGAGGCCAAACCACATCTTTTTTCCTCTCCGTTAAGCATATTTTCCTTGAAATGAGGTAAAGCATGGTACCAAGTGCAATGCTTATCTGGGCTACACGGACAGAACAGAGGGGGAACAAAGCTGTTACACAACGCAGCATAGTTAGGACTGTTGAAAGTATATTATAAAGGAAATCAAAAATCTTTACAATGCAGGTTCATGCCGACTAACCTCCACACCATCATCATAAGGAACTTCGTAGTTGTCAAGACACACTTCCCCAGTCCTTCACGCACGTGCCTGAGGCACCACCACACCTCCCACTAGCAGGGCCTCCGCACTACGTCCGGTCTCACGTTGCAGTCACGGGAACAAAAGGATGACACACACAGGGGTGGGAAGGGGCGCCACACAGAGTGATCTTCTTCCTTCGTTAATGGATGCAAAACATTTCCACAAGCTAAACTGGGGGCACTTTACAGCATTAAAAATCAGCAGCACGAAAGCGTTCATAACCATCTCGGTATGTCTCACTCAGAGTTTTTATTTTTTAACTTAGTAACCAGGGGATCACAGAACGCGTCCAAGTGTGAGTCACAAATTAAAATTAGCTATCTTTCTCCAACAACAAAAAAAAGGAAATAGCTAAAGTTTGCCGTTGATAAAACATTTTGAATGGTAGCAGGAAATGTGAACCCCTGAGAATGTATGACCTAATCATATCCAAGTCTGAACTTTTTCGTATTAACAAAAAAATACTCTTCTTAAGGTTACAAAATATATTGAGGCATTTTTCTCCCAAAGGGAATTGTAACTGTGAAACAATCTGGTTTTGGTGCCAGGAGGCGAGAGAATCCCTTAACACTGGGATTAGTGCATTAGACACAACGCAAAGCCCTAAGCTCCTGGCATCAGGTAGTTTATAAATTAAGAAGAGATCTGTGATCTAACTTGATCACAGATCACCCTCACACGTAAAATTCACATCCAGCCTTACTTGTTAATTGTACACGTTTACAGTTAATATAATTCAAGAATTGCTTGGTTTTAACTTGCTAGGAGATCTCCCGCTGAGGTTTAAAAAAAAAGACAAACAGAAATCTAAGGTTCCCAATCAGAAGTATTTTAAAAATGAGCCTACCCAAATTAATTTGCTCAAAATCTCATTTAATAATTTAGATTGCAATTTAAATGTAAGATTGGAGACAACAAATAACGTTGGAGAAGCTTAACATCCCCTTCACTCAGGTCTCCTTAGAAAGCGGAGCTGACAGTTTTCTCTGTGCACACGTGCAGAGGTGTTTCTCTGGGGGTGGGTGGTGCAGATAAAGCAAGAAGTACAGTATTCAACTGTAACTGAAAACAAAAAAATGCAGCATTACATGAAGCATCGAGTTCAGAATGATGTGCTGGAAAACATTAGACACCTCTGCTCGGCTTTCTTAAACTTCAAGCATAATTAATGGGGCAAATTGCAGCAAACCTCTACTGGTATGTTGGTGGGAGTGCAAGACCGACCCACAGCTTTTAAGAAGGTAAATTAAGAGGTATTATAGTTACAGTGCAAAAAAAAAAAAAAAATTAAAATTTCAAGCATAATACATAAACATAGCACCAAACAGGGGGAAACGCATGCAAAAGAAAAGAAGAACTGAGGTATTTAAGTGAAGAGTGCCTACAAGTCTAATTAAAGAAACTTCGGCAAATGCCTAAAAATGTCTTCTTTTTTTTTTTTCTTTTCCAAAGATGGAAATCATGAACTTGTTTTCCTAAATTAATGACCTAAATCACAGATGTATCAAGATGACGGCAGTTTGTCGCAAACGTTACGCTTCCACGGCATTAGCAGCGCAGCTTTGGTAGGTGAAGAATGCACGCAACACTGTGATGAGTACAGTAAGACATTTAAGTGAGAAGACTAAGGGTAAAGGTGCTCTGTTTTGCTTCTTTAAATAAGTAACCAATCACTTATAAAATCTGCAGCATATTTTAGGTGTGATATGTCTAGAGTTTATCTTGTTAGAGCAACAGCCTACAGGGCAAAACTGCCACAAACAATTTCCATCAGTGGAGCTACCTGGCAGGAGGTTTTTAGTAAAACTGGGTATTTAGCCAAAGATCATTTTTATTATGGTGCTTAAAAAAATCCATAGACTACATATATAATATTCTGGTTTTCAAAATGCCTTCAGGACACAGAGGACAGAAACTCTAAGAATATCATCCTTAATAAGTTAAGTCACAGCTACCCTAGTGAGTTGCAAATATCACACTGTCTCAACCTCTAAATGCGTAATAAAAGGAAGGGAATGTCAAATAGTTTGTTCCAAAAAGATCAGAAATTAAAGAACATCCATGAGGGTTTTACTTTTAAGGCAAGAACCTTTTGTATGCAAGACTACGTGGCATGAGAGAAAACGAAAATTTGATTCACCAACATGCCAGCCAATGTTCATTAAAAACCTGTCCCTTACTATACAGTAAGTGCAATGGCGACCGGGAGACATCCTCTTAGGCAACAGGTCGTGGAAAGCAAAGACAGCACGGGCAAGCTTCTCCTCTCGCAAACCGCACCATCCTCCTGGGCGCAGCGGCCACGCCAAGGAGGGGAGGGCACTCCACAGAATCCAGGGGCTGTCTCAGCTGTAAGCTCCTTGGCCTCCTAACGCTAAGCAAAGCTGACGGAAACGAAACCAAAAAACAAAAAGAAAGACAAAACCCCCCCAAACAAAACAAAAACAAAATAACTGTCAATAATTCTCTTGAACACTTGCTAAATGTCATCATTAAAGCACTCTCGTGATTTAAACAAAGCAGAAGTGAGGAAAGAAGACAAGATTGTGTTTGCGCAAAAAACTAAAACTACAATTAGTTCCAAAATTTTTATACATATGTTAAATGTTTTATTCTGTAATCTATCTTGTTATCAAACAAACTTTAAATTCTGCCTTCAATTCATTCCACTCACTATGGACTTTAAATCATCCTCCTCGATTTAAATAGTTTTCCCCTTAATTCTGCTTTTTGTTTTTTGTTTTTTGTTTTCTGTCCGTTGCAAAAAGGGGTTTCAGCTGTTGGGAACCTGAGGTTGATTGGCTTTGAGGCTGCGTAGGGCTCTTCTTGCTGCTGCAGACTTGGCGATCCTGTAGCTCCGGCCGACGCCTTTAAATTTCCCCTTCCCTACCACTTCCACCGTGACTCTGACCTTGCCGTCATACGTCCTCTCAGCCGGGCTGTAAAAAAGCCAAACAGCGTGAATCACAAGTCAGAACTATTTATTATTGTTGTCAATCAGCACGGAGCTCGCGCTCGGAGGCGGAGGGCCTGGGCACGAGCTGCCGGCACACAAAGGAAACGTGCATCACACGGTGGCGCGGCCCCCGGCACACGGGGCTGAGGCTCTTCTTTAACTCAGCATTACTTTATCAAAGCAAAAGGGAAAGTCAATCCGACTACAAACGGAGAGTGCAGAGTGCGTGCCCCAGTGTAAATATTTCTCAGAATCATTAGTTTATCGCATCTTTGACAACTCTTGCCCCTCTTGTTTTTTAAGGAACTTAATTTTTTCCATGCACGGTTTTGCTTACCTAAATTTGGCAGTTTCTGGTTCCATTTCGAGCAATTCTCGCACAGGGGAACGGGGCACATTTGCAGAAAATTTTTCTGTAATCAAAATGAAAGAGTCATGTGAATGATATCCTTATAGTTGTTTTTAATTATGACTGTGTTTCTTTCGAAGGGAACGAACAGTACCTATGAGCGGCCGCATCATAGGATAGTACACCTGCCACACCATCTCCAGGGACATCCCGCTATCCATGTAAATGGCACCAGCAAGCGACTCAAAAATGTCCCCCATGGCCTTTGGAACTTCGATGTCCTCCTCCTTCTCTTCGTCCTCCTCAGACCTCCTAAGCTATTTACACAAAGAAAAGGGACTTGTAAGCAACAAGGCTACCTTTAAAGGCATTCCACAGCGGTGTGTTTCTTTTCTTGGATAGGACTTTTATTATACCCTTTAACAAGGCTAACAATACCAACCATTTATGGCAATCACCTAACGACACTGCAATAGGTTCTTCACGAACATCTAAAAAAAAAATTTTTTCCCCCAATTTCTCAAGGGATAAACAAAATCCCTTCCCCAGTTAGTAGTACACTCAGCAAAGGGAAAAAAGAGTACTTCTACATGAAAACAAAAACACCACAAAATTAGAAATAGTTAATAAATGTATGAAAAAAATTTCAAATCCACTCGTAACCAAAGAACTGCATCTTAAAACAGTTCTACCCCCTAGCGGTTTGGCAAGGATTAGGCCGAATACTAATTAGTACGGCAATGACAAGAGTGTATATACACTGCTTTGGCAAGTATAAATTGCCACTTTTTGCCAGAAAAATTCGACTGGGCAATAGATCCCCCCGAGTTCCCTTTTTATTAAACCCCTTAATACACACTGACTATAAGAGAGTGCCTGACACACAGTAGGTATTCAAATTAATGTAATAAAAAACTCAGATATGTATCAAATGCCTTTTTAAAAGTTCCTAATGCTTTGATGCAACAATCCCATCTCTAGGAATTTATCTTAAGGAGGTACTGGATATATTTACCACACCCATGTTTATTAAAAGTCCTCAGTAAAAACAACGTAAATATCTAGCCACAAAGGACTGTTTAAGTACATTCCATTATAGCCATATACTGATTAGAGGGCAGCCACTGAAAGTCAAAATGCCAATGGATACATGGAAAGTTGTCCTCAAAATATTAAGTGAAAAAAACACGTTACGGTATACGACGCATAATATAATTCCATTTTATGTTTTATGTATGCTTATGTTTATATACATTAGCAATAAAACATCACAGAATGTTCATTTTGGTAATTTCTAAAGCAGTGTATTTGCATAACTTTAATTTTCTTCTTATTTGTATTTTCTAAAATAAACACAAATTACTTGTGAAAGAGAAACAAGAGAAGGGGGCATTTGGAGTTTTTTAAAAAAAGTTTCTAAATGGATTGTTTAGCCATGTAGAGCTCTATATAAAACACTCGTAATGCTGGCTCCTGGGGGGAAAAAAGACACTTCTTGTTGGTACATCACGGTTTTGAGGTAGAAAGGAATTTTAAAATTTATCGAATTTAACTCTCTCCTTTCACAAATGAAGATACTGAGGCCCAAAGAAGTGGAGAGACTTACTGAAGACTCAACAGTAAGTTAGAAAAGCCAGACCACTGACATTTCCAATCAGTTTTTGTAACTTCTAATACATATGTTTATATAAACAAAGGAAAGGAAGAGAATGAACAAAAATTAACAGAACCAGCATGTCCCACTGTCATCAAAAGAGAACTTAAATCTAATTTTAGCTAATTCCTCAAATTCTAAGCTTAAATACTTCTAAAGAATAAGACCAGAAATAATACTGAGTACATATGAGATGGTTCTAATTCCTAGTGCCACTGCTGGCTGTGCCCCGACTCGGCCCATTCACCTTGGCGGAGGGCACCCGGGAGAGTGGATCCTCCTTCAGCATGTGCTCTGTACTGTTTACAGGGTGGGACACTAGCCTTGCAGTTATGCCTCAAATTTCTCTCACAGCAAGTCAAGGAAAGAAAAGCACTAGTCCCCAGCCACGGTTTGGTGCGATTAAAAAAAAAAAAAAGGGAAGGTATGAATTAAACGAAGAGCAATTAAAACAGCCACCAGAATTAAGAAAAAATGCCCTGACTCCTTATAAGACATCCGCACAAGTAAGGAAGACAAGGGAATCAGAACGGGGAGAAGGGACCGAGAGTGCTCTCCTGGGTACACAGGTATGCAGATGGACGGCAGCGAAGGATCAGAGGAGAGTGGAAAGACCTACGTGAAATTCTTCGCTACAAAACTTCAAAATAGCTCACAAACACATTAAAATGAGCTCCATCACCAAAGAACCTTTGGCTGAACTTACGACAGAAGCCTCTCAAATTCCAATGGTTAAAATTTTAGAAGGTTGGTTTTTCAATGAGATTTTCCTATTTTCAAGGAGAAGCAGAAAATACATTTGTGAGGCTTACCTGAGATCGTATCAGTGAATGTTTTCGGACCCATTTTAACAGAAAGAAAGGCAGAATGAACCACAGGGAGGTTCATTCACTAAGGTTCCAGCGCCACCGGGGGCAGGGGCCGGCAGGTGTCAGTCAGGCGTCAGGGACAGAAAAGAGCCCACAGCCCCCTGGCCCCGTCTCTCCCCTGGAAGGACCGCACGCACAACCATCGCGGGGGCAGTCAAGTTTTTGAAGGGCCGACCTGGAGAGCACGACCGTCGCTCGGCCCCGCCCGGAGGAAAGCGGCTGCGAGCCGCGCACTGGCCGTGTTCTCCAGGAGCACTCACCTCGGAGTCCATGCCCTGCATCTCGTTCTTCTCCAGCTGGAACTGCACGAAGTCGTCGATGACGTGGAAGAGCTCGGGGGAGACGGCTTTGAAGTACTTGTGGTAGTCGTACTTGACCGCCAGCGACGCGAAGATGGTGTTGTTGACCAGCGCGGACCGCAGGTCGGTCAGGACGCCCGGGGAGTGCTGCCGCGGGTCTTCGTAAAGGTGCTTGGTTATGAGGTAGTCCAAAATCGCATCTCCCAGGAACTCCAGGCGCTGGTAACAATCTGCGGGCGGCCCAGAGCGCAGGCGTCAGCTGGCGCAAACCCCGCTCTTCCCGCACAGGAACCCACCGGGACGCCTGGCCCCCAGACCCACCAGCGAGGATGCTGCCAGGCTCCGTTTTCCGTGCATATTCTTCAGTGACAAACCAGGGGACATGTCACACTTACTAAAGCCTCTGGAAATTCAATTTGAATGGCAAATGAAGCCTATTTCTTATCTATAAATTGGGGTCATAAAAGCCTTCGGTGGCCCAAAGGCTACTGCCCCTGCAGACAAAACACTGGCCGGGGAGCCTCATCAGGTCAGGCCCTTCCCTCAGGCACGCTGCTGGCCAAGCAGGTGCTGGGCGCCGCCGAAGCCACAGCCTCGCTCACACGCCGGCGGTCAGGGGCCAGACGCTGCACGCGCACCCCACCCTCCGCCCCCCAACACCCCATGCACCCCGTGCTCTGGCCCCACACACCCCCTATTCTGGCCTCAAGCTCTGCCCCCGGCACACCCCGCCCTCTGCCCCAGTACCCCCCTATACACCCCACGCACCCCGTGCTCTGCCCTTGCACACCGCCCCCACGCTCTGCGTGGTGCCTCGCCCCCGCTATGGAGTGTGCGCTGGGGCCACCGTGCCTCGCCACTCCTGGGTCACAGCTGCCACCGGCCCAGTAAGTACTAGAAAACCCCCTCCTCCACCTGGGTGAGAACTGTTGAACTGGACACGAACAAGGGCCTAAGAAGGGAGAGTTGTGGCCCTGCGCAAAGACCTGGGCCAGCATGGGCCGGCTGCCCACGTGGGGGAAGGCACCCGTGCTGGCCAGCACCCCTATCTCCTCCCCGGCCGAGCAGAGCCCATCCAGGCTAGGAGGCGGGGGCGGGGACCGCCGAAGTGGTGCGTCCCGGGCACCCAGAGCTCCGAGGCAGGGGCCTCGCTCAGCAGAGGGCAGGAACCATGCCTCGCGGCTTCGCCACAAAGACAAACAGCGCCCCGGGCCGCCAGCCCTTCTCGTCCAGAGCCAGATCGGTTTTCACTTTTTGGTTTTACACTCTTCTGATCATCTGAACCTTTCCTGTTTTTCTTATACAAACTTTATACTCTGCTTTGGTATCCCAGACTCAAGCACTTATTACTCTGATAGAGAAAAAAAAAATACACAGGCTTTTCACAAGCTGAAGCTGACTGCAGTTCCAGGCGCCTGGTCTCCCTTCGCATCTCATGGACTGGCCACCACTACAGAAAGGAGAAGACCCTGGAGCACAATGCCAAGTGGAAGATGCAGAAACCTTTCCCCCGAAGAAGTTTCTTTTAGCCCACTCATCTTTAGATTTAAAACCTTTAGAGAGGGGCCTTTTTGTTCGGGAAGAACGATAAAAGGACGTGGAAATACATCCAGAATATAGGAAATCAAGAACCATAAACAGCGCTAAAGGGGCATCAGGAAGACACAGGGGGAGGACAAAAATGGGAAAAGCACAACAAAATAGGAAGGCCCCAATTTCTCCAACTGTGCAGCCCGTGAAGTGACCTCTCTTCGAGCAGGGGAGGCGGTGGCGCTGCCAGCTATCATCGGTGAGAAGCCCCGCATGCACCCAGAAGGAAGAGGAAAATAAAGCCGCCTTCATTTTTCTCTTGCTCCCTCCCTCCACCATGCATCTTACGCACCAAGTCTGTACATGCACAGGTTGCCTTTTAAAAAACAAAAACCCAAGCAAAAAGAATGCAGTCAGCACGAGCTTGCAGTTGCAGGGCACTGGAGTTCGGCCTGGGGCTCCTTACCAGTAATGGTATTGTAGTGGTAGGAGGCATGGGTAAAAGCCTGTAGAAGGTAAGCCTTATTCTTGAATCTGTAGTTGATTTTCTTTTCGAAATTTTCAAAACCCGATATAAGGTGATTCAGTGTTTTATCTGCGTCTGGATGATCAAACATACATCTTGGTGGAATCTTCAAACAACCATACTCCAAGTCTTTCAACACCGAGGAGCGCGAGCTGGCCACAGAGGCAGGAGCACGGCTCCCTGAAAGGTTCTTTTGTTGGCTGCTGAAATTCTCCCTAGTAGGGCACACGGCCTTTTCCCGATCAGTCCTTTTAATTACCGGGAGCACCTTCAGCCCCAGCGAGCAGAGGAAAAGCTGAGCAGCCCTCTCGCCACAGCTGGTTAAATAGCAGCCCAGCAGGGCTTCCACACAGTCGGCTATGCTTTTGTCCGCGATACACTGCTCAGTGTGCAAGTCGTAAGAAATGGACTGTTTCCCTGTGTCAACACCACAGTTTTCTTCGGATGGATTCCAGAACCCCACCACAAAGTCATCCTCTTCAACAGCTTTGCTAGGATCCAGATAGCACATTGCATCCCAAGAGCTATAGTCAAAATCCTCAAAATCTGATGAGAATGGCATACTACCTAAGGAGGATTTTTTGGGCATTTTCCATTCGTATGCAGAATCAGTGGTTGAAAAAGGAGAAAGAGAAATTTTCTTTACAAAAGCTCCTGATCCCATTAACATGTTATCTATAAATTTGATATGTTCCTGGTCATACTCCAGGAAATCATCTTCATAGTCGGCATCGTCCTTTGGAGCCCTCCACGTCAGGTCCTCATCCTCAAAGTCCTCCTCCTCAAAGTCCTCGCCCAGCTTGCCGTTGGCCAACGTGCAGTCTTTTGTCTGAAACGAGGAGGGGTGGGGAAGGAGGGGAGACATAGCTGCTGTTTTTAAAAGGGTTTGAAACTCAATAAAAGCAAGGGTTATGGATAATTTCAAATGACAACCACAAATACTAAAAGGCAACTTTAAAATCATGGCCATTTGTTTTCAATTAACATAAAATAAGTTATTTAATCATATAAACAAAGTAAAACATGTTCTTTGAATGTTCATTTTCTAAGTTATACAATGATCTTTATCCAGTATGAAGTTTTAAGTTAAGGATTTTGAACACAGATATAAAGTTAAAATTAATGTCCACGAAGCAAAACTTCAGCTAGCAAGGCTTACTCCAGCAGACACACAATAAAAGCACTCACAGGCCGATGAGAGGTCTTCAATTTTGCTGACAAAGTTTTAAAATGTTTCAAAAAGATTTCAAATTAATAAAATTAAATTCCAGATGCAGAAAAGGCATTATCTGCGCAATAAAGAGTATAAATATGAAAAAAGATAAATTACCTTAAAAATCTGTAGAATATTAAAAATAGGCAATAGGGTGTTTTCATGCTAAAGGTTTTGTCCCTACTTCCACTTCAAATCAAAGTACATTTGCTACAATTAAAACTAGATTGCTCTGCTTGAAAACTAAAAGTGATCACTGAACTAAGCTATGAATCTGGGAAATTATGCTTTCCCCTCCACGGTGCTACAGTAATCAGAGGAACAGATTAAAGCATAAATGACAAAAATAGAAGAAAATTTAGACTAACATGAAACACAACAATCCAACTTCTGTCAGAAGATCTTTGCTAATTCCAATTTCTTTGGCAAAAGCTTATTTGTGAATGACAACCTTAATAATGGGCTAGGATTCAGCAATGATGTAACTTTTTTGCAATGTTAAAAGATGCCAAATTTCTGTTGCGCAAGAAATAAAAAAAAAAAAACTTGACTTTGGGGGGAAAAAGGCAGGAGGGTGTGCTTCAATTCTGATAGTGACAACTTTCCAGAGATTTGCTGACAAAAACGTTTTCAAACTTTGTCAAGGATTTTTTAAATACTGCAATATTTCATTTTAAGCCAGATTCAAAAGACATAGTGTATTTATTTGAAAGTAAAGAAGGGCAGTGAACCGAGCCATGTCTCTACAACTATGTATCTTTATGGGTTTTATTTTTTTATGAAAAAAGGTTTATAAAAGTTTTCCAAGAATGTGGAAGAACATGAAAAGAGACTGTAGTGGCAGATCTCTAGGAACTATTTCCTGTTAAAAAACCCTATACCTTCCCAAGGTAACATGAGATGTTTTGGACTACTGTTTGGTCCTTAACATTAAAAAAGGCAAACTGCAATTAAAAAAAAAAAAAAATCAGGTTGAATAATTTTTTAATCAAAAAAAAAAATCCTTATATATCTTTAGTAAGATGCTACCATAGTGTAAAATTGGCGCACACACACAAAAGAGTAGGTTTTATCACAAATATGCTATGTGATCTTGGAAAAAGTTTTTTAATGCCTCTGGGTTTCAGTTTCTCTATCTGCAAAATAGCGGGATTCTACCTCACTAAATGGTTTCCGAGAACACTTCAAGCTCCTAAAAAAACAAACAAACAAACAAACAAACAAAAAAAACACAAAAAACCTGGCATCAAACTCTTTTCTCCTATGGTTCAAGTCAACTCTCTACCTGAGTTACTACCACTTCGGCATTCGTACGCAAAGTTTCTCTTAAACCTATTGCTGAGGAGGGAGGCGGGCAGAACAGGAATGCAGGCACACGCCTTCCAATACCACTCAGGGCCTATTTCAATAAGTACGAACTACTAAGTGAAAATATGAATGGTATGTTTAATGTATTCCCAAAACCAAAGTGCCCGGTCATCCGAAATGTTAAGGAAAATAAGAAATTTCTGTTGTATTTTTAAAAATTCTTTTTTAATCAAAAGGACTTGTCAATGTCACTTTTATGCTACTTTTTTCTAAAAAGCCAATTATATTATGAAACTACAAGGCAGAATAATTATTGGGAATGTTTTTCATAGATATGCAATATTTTCTCTAAAGTCCTCCGAATCTATACATTTTCCTCTAAGGTTCTATCTATTTCTAAGTTAACAGCAAATGTAATTTTTCTAACCCAGCCTGCATTAAAATATTCTCTTCACACTTTTCTGGAGAAGTTCAATTTCTGTAAAAACATCCAATACTGCATGAGTTAAAACCGTACTCCGTAAAGGGGTAAAAATCAAAGTCGGGGCACAGAGCGGCGGCCCTGGGGAAGCTTGAGACGGAGAACTACCACAGGCGTGTCAGGAACAGGACACGAAAGCCTGTCTATTTAGAAAGCGTGACCTGTGAAAAGAAACCGTATTCTCACTGCTGGCCTGAAGGAAAAATTAAGTAACCATGATCCAGTGTCTCATTAATGCAAAATAAATGTCCACGAAATGAAAGTCGCCAAGAGATGGCCTTTAGCTCTGGGAGAGGCGCCGGTGTTTCCCAGTGTTTCCACCTCCTCCTAGCCGCCCACCTCTGGGCAGATGGCTTTTCCAGCTCCGAGGCCCTCCGAGGAGCCCTCTGGTGGCCTTCAAGACAAGACAAAATGAAGCAGCCGCAGCTAATATCTGGCCTGAAGCCACTGGCACGATTTTTTAAACTATTTTCAGAAAACTACAACCTTTATGATTTTCTTTCTTTCTTTTAGGTCACCAGAGAAGACCGAGTCCTAACTGAGAAAACCCTGACCTGCAAAGCAAGGCTTTACTGAAATTAATTATTTCATAGACTGGAGATCATAGTTCATTGAAAAGTCACTGAACAGAGCTAAGGATCAAGGGAGGATGAATTGTTATATACAGAACAGTAAAATGAAATGTTACGGAGTTTTGCTTTTTTTTCTTTTTTGAGTCACGACATCATATATACTTCTGCCTCTGAAAAAAAAGATGACAGACTTGACCCCCATCAAAATTACAACACTGTTTCTAAATTCAATGAAGAGACAGTCAATTTAAAGGAATTAATTCAATATATCAAATACCTACTCTATTATAAATACACCATGGAAAGGAAACACAAAAATTAATAGCACAAAATTCTCCCGCCCACCAAAAAATAAATGCTTCCAGTTGCCCAAAACTTACCATTTCATCTTTTTCCCATTTATCTGTGTTACTTTTGTCTTGGTTTACTACATAACCCGGAGGAAGCCAATTCACAGGGGGATCAAATATTGATACCACCATGCGGCTGGGCAGTCCCTTCTTTTTTCCAAGCCGATACAGATTACAGTTGCTGACCTTTAGCAGAAAAAATCTGTAAGATACTTATCCGCAAATGACCACTGCTGGAATTCATACCAGGCAAATAAACATATTTTTAGCTAAATGTTCTTCATATTACAACTGGCCATCAATTATTCACGATAGCAAATATTATATTCCCATATATTCTATATCCTTCAGCGTAGTTAGATGAGAATTTCTGATTTTCAGAGCAGATCAGAAAAAACTGATATGCAAATTCCTTATAAAGTCAGAACGAACAGTTCATACAATTTCAAACCTTTGAAAACACAACCTGATGATATTAAATGCAAACTGTCAACTGAGACCATCAGAATAGAAAAAGAATCCACATAAAAAGTCTAAGATGCCACAATATTCTCAATGAAATAAATGGGGGGAAATGCCACAAACTCTAGCTATAAAGTAGAAAGTGACACTGAACAGAGCTAAAAGAATTTTATACTCCTAGAATCTAAGCCACAAATACAATTTTAATTGTAATGTTTTCTCAAATATCATTCCTTTGTTTTGGATGGCATTTCAAGATATTTTTGTTCACCCATTTTAAAACAGAGCAAAAGGTAATAACTCCATGTTTATTCACATCAATAAAATAGCTTCATTGCTTACCCTCTGGTCTGTTTTTCCTAAGGACTCCATGTCCTCCGTAACTCACTCAAATCGTAACATTTCTGTCTAGGAATGTCTAGTAAAAACTTGGAAACCAGGAGCTAGAACTGTCAATCTCATTTTCATTTTCTATAAACTGGGTTCCTTTTTACGGAAGTACTTCACGAGCCCCTTTTCTAGGGAACTCGATACCACTGACCAGGCACCCACCCTGGGAGAGACACCTGGCCGGGCATCCCTGAGAGAACAACGTCAGCAAGACTGAGGAGCAGTCCCTGCGGACGACACAGCCGGGAGGGACAGGTGGCAGCACGCTGTCGGAAACGGAACAGCTCAGATCAATGCCAGCATCCCTGCGCCTCCGAGGAGAATACAGCACCCAGGTGGCAATGGCAGGCGGAAGACGGCAAGCACATCCACAGTCAGACGGGAGGGTGGCTGGGATGGGACAGGGAGAGACGCTCAGGGCTCCTGCGGTGCAACGTGGGACAGGCAGGACTGCACAAGCCGGAAGCGGGGCAAGCACTGAGAGAGGAGCAGAGTGGGCGCATGCATGCAGGGAGCCTGTATGAAGACCAGCTAGGGGCTCAGGTCTGGTCAGGATGCAGGACGGGTCCGGGACGGGAGCACACAGAGAAGGCTGCCCTTCAACACCGGGCTGAGGGAACAGCACTGATCCCTACAGGACATAAGCAATCAGAGCTTTCCCGGCAGACGAACAGAGGAAAGTTTTGACATGTACACGAATTTCTTTGTTACCTAGAGTAAGAGTGTACTGTTGCTTCCTACTCATATCCTCAGTCTCTGACATTTTCTTCCTACAACCACCTCGTGGAAATCTCATTTGTTCTGACAGCTTTATCACTCTTACAAAGACTATTCCCCCAAACCAGACCTCAGTCCTAAACTCTACGTTATCTGAACATTTCACTGAATAGTCCACTTCATTTCCCATGAGAGCTGAAAACCCTATACCTGACTCTGATTCCTACATTTGTGCCTATGTCACCATGGGCACCACCATCGCCCAAATTCCCCAGCTTACACACAGTCACCCCGGCATCCCAGGTCTCTCTCTGCCCCTAATCACACTGACAGGCAGCGAGAAGGCTGGTGAAGGGTATGGGCTCTTGCGTCCGACACCTCCCGGATTAGCTGGGCGACCTTACACGAACTAATTAAACTCTCTAAACTAAAAAACCTTCCTCATCTGCAAATTGGGGACACGTTATCTACCCCTCAGGGGCTCACTGAGAAGCATAAATGAGGGCTGTAAAATGCTCGGGGTAGTGTCTGGTGTTATAGTGTGACATCGGAGATAGGGGAGTGTGACATCGGAGGTAGGGGAGAGTGACATCAAAGGTAGGGGAGAGTGACATCGGAGGTAGGGGAG